CATCAGACACGAGACTAGACACGGTACCAGGGGGTGGGTGGGGTGGTGATAGCGGTAGGGGGTGGGGGTGAAAGACATTTGTTTGAATATGTAGGTCGGATATGGGGCGTATGAAAAAAATAATTAGAACAGTTTTAATTACACTGCAGCCAACCCCAATGAGCTGTGATTCTGATCCCCCGATTTATCACGGTGTAAGCGAGCAGGGGTGAAACTCTGGCACATCTGCCCTTATGGCAGATGCCAGACCAGCCATATGCCCTGTCTGTACCAGCTTTACAATCCGCTGATACTTTTCTGATAGTCCGCCACGCGAGTACCTCACTGATTATAATTAAATATGTTAATTAACACGGTGTATTTTATTTACTGGAGGTAAATCAATCGAAGGATTAACACAGGTGGTAAGGACCTTTTTTTGGGTGGGGGGGGGGGAGGGGGTGGGGGGGTGGGGGTGGGAGTCAACAATCCAGCGCACTGACATCTTAAACAAAATAAACAAACGTCTGCATTATTTCAGAGTAAAATATTGCAGTATTCTTAGTAGCTAACACACCATACAAGACAGCGTCTAAAGTATTTGTCTAAGCCGTTTTTGTTTATATCAGACTTAGATCTGTACAAGCTCTTGTTGTTTTAGTTTGTGACCCAAACGCCCTTTCTCCTGTGTGATAACAACGTCATAACAACACACCCAACAAAGGTTTGGGAATGGCAGTGTGTGTGTGTGTGTGTGTGTGTGTGTGTGTGTGTGTGTGTGTGTGTGTGTGTGTGTGTGTGAAAAGGGGAGGGGGGTCCCGGCTGCTTTTAATTCAACTTTCTAAAAGCGTGAATCATTAACTAGGTAATTTCTAAACCTTACAAGGGGAAGGAATTTACCTTGTTTTATGCTTTTTCACACAGGGGTTTTCTCCCTGTCCTTGGGAAAAACCCAAAATCTCATTCTTAAACAATTAGAAAAAAAAATCAGCGTGTTAGTTAATTCTGTTTTCTTTCTCTCTGGCCGTTCTGTGTATAAATATGTTCTGTCTAGTAACACACTCCTTATTTATAGCTGTGTTTGTTTCGTTTCTTTTTTGTGTGTGATGAATAGTTTTTAATAAACCAAATTTTTTTTACTGCTTAATAAATACGGACTTAGCTTTGGTTTCCTTTGTGTTCCTTTCATTCTTTTAATATTTTTTATAGTCGTAAAACACTTTCACCGAGAACAAGTTTAGAATAGCAGTGGTCCGTTTTATATTTCGAAACTAAGCTAAGGTGTTAATATTAATTATCCCACACAATTATATTAATGTTTCTTGGGAAAAGCGGTTATTTTTATCACCGTACTTGTAAGTTTTTATGTTAAAGTCGAAGTCTAGTTCTGGAAAGTCCGTCCATTTGGCCGGATGCTGGTCGAGTGAGACGGTAACCGGATACCTTGTGAAGCGTATCGGATTCGATGGTAGCCACCAGCTAAAAAACCGACATGGATATGATTTAGTGAAGTATCGAAACAGCCCACAGGTGTGGCTAACTGGCCCCAGCGGTAAAGCCAGGTGAGAAAGGTTTTAATGGCTACCCAGGTGAGAATCGAGGTGACAGTCTTTGGCGAGGTGTGGCGTATGATTTCTGCCATGAAAGAAGGTCTCTCCGCCGACGTGATGAGGAACCGCCATGAAAACAGGGCTCAAAAAATTAACTGGGGATTTGATGTAGGGACTCTTGGGTTGGGGTGTGAAAGGGACTCGTGGGTTTGGGTGTGAAGGGGGGGGGGAATAAAAGTAATGTGCGTGGGTTGACTCGATGTACTAGGGGAATAGTGTGGACACCGTTATTTTAATTGATGTAGTTAACTAGGTTGTTATAGATTGGTTATTTACTGTACTGGATAGTGGTGTGATAGTGGATAGGATTGGTCAGATAATGGACTAGACCAGAGCTCTTTGGTCGAGCACCAGTTCTTAGCTCCAGCTCCAAGCTGTACCATAGTTCTTAGCTCCAGCTCCAAGCTGTACCATAGTTCTTAGCTCCAGCTCCAAGCTGTACCATAGTTCTTAGCTCCAGCTCCAAGCTGTACCCCAGTTCTTAGCTCCAGCTCCAAGCTGTACCCCAGTTCTTAGCTCCAGCTCCAAGCTGTACCCCAGTTCTTAGCTCCAGCTCCAAGCTGTACAACAGCTCTTAGCTATCAACGTCAGGCTCTGCTCTCACTTCTTATTGGGTTAGATCTAAATACCTTCGATAAATGTAGCGAAACCCCTGACATTACAGGTATTGATCTAACATTAATTTAGGAAAATGTAATTTAATTGGCCTTGGGACTAAACGTTAAACTTCTGTGACTATTCCATCTGACTAATTTTAATGATGTTTTAACTATAAACTGACTAACAAGCCTCACTGCATAAACATCTAGCACGTAAAATATTCTGAGACTGATATTTGTATTATCACACACAACCTACTTTCTGATACTGGTGTGTATGTCATCATACGTATAACATTCTGCATCAATTGTAGTTTATATTCATACATATACAGCATTCTTCATCAATATACGTTTCATGGTATTACTAAACATTCTGCTACTGTCTTGTATTATCATATACATACTCCATTCTGCCATCGATATGTTTATCGTGATCAACACAAGACAACAAACACACAACACAGCCCAGTGACATAGTACAGCTGGCTCAAACGTGCCTACACACATCTCCATTACACTTACAGACACGTCCTAGTCAATACACGTGTAATTGTATGTCCACAAGATAACTGCGCGAGCCTCACGCTTGAAGACAGTCTCGAGTCAATGAAATCATGTAAAAAATAGGTAGTCACCTACACAGGTGGGCTGATGGCTTGTTTGAGAGGAATGTTAGGGCAATGTTTAGGCTGTTAAAAACTGTGACCAACACAAGTAGTCGGGAAAATGCGAATAAATCGCCAGTCTCCAAATTGATTTCGCCATTATTTTCAAATAAAATCAGGGGACTTGATCAGTCTTGATCCCTTTATACTCATAAGGATATTTGTCAACTGTATACGTATATTATTACATGTTATTGTTCATATATTAACAAGGGGCGTATTTCAGATGTTACCACATAAACCTTTTAAATAATTTATTTGTTATTTATTTATTTGTATTTATACATTTACCTCAATGGCCTATACTATTCTATCATTTCAATGAATTGCATGTGTAACATTTTGTTATATTTTTCAATAACAAAAAAAAAAAGGTTTCTGCATTTTCCCCCACCTATTATGAAAGAAAATATCACGGTGTTCTTTAACGATTATAATCGGGCCGTGGGTCGAATGGCTTTCCTTGACACCCCGGGGCAAAAAATCAATATCAGCTAATGCATGTTAATATGTTGATGCAGACTTTATTAAAGTATTCATTTCATAGCAGCAAACGTATCCATTTCAGGGCGACAGCAAAAACGCTTTACCGCGTATGCCCGTGAAATCATATAGGCTATAATTGAATAGAAGTAGAAGGTCGCATTCGTTGTAGGCTACATGTCCACACCACAAAAACATATGGAATATTATCCATTAATGAAGTTATTAAAACAATAAAAAGACTAATGTCCCAATAAAGGAATGGATTTTTTTTTCCAGCCGGGGTTAAAGATCTCTTGAAGGTTTGCCAGACCAGGAAATGGTGCCATTAAATGACTCCTGCTGTTCGGTCACGGTTGGATACAGAGCGTTGGGTTTCAGGTGGGATTCAGAATTTTCTAGAATATTATTCGTTTGTTTTCTTTTACTGGTGAGAGTAATTAATTCTGGGAGGAGGGTTGTGATTTATTATAATAGAATTTAATTGAATCCGTAGAAATTGCTATTATATTTTTGTTATTATCTGAGATATAAAATGTTAATTTTGTTTTTATTCTCCTACCACGGCTACAATGCGAATTTCTATCAAATCAATAAAAAGTATTTTTTTAAAATCTGGAGTGGTGTCCCTTTTAAGAAAGTACAAAGCTATCGCTCTCCACTAATTACATAGTCGGTGGAGCATAATACGCTCGAGTATCGCACAGCTCCGTTACTTTATAAATGGAAACACGATAATTTAAATAGTCGATACTTAATTAATTTCCATTACAATAAGCTGGGTTTTTTTTGTTGGGTAAGGCGGGGTGGGGAGGGGGGGGGGGGTGTAGAAGTTTAGTTGAGTCTATTAACTTTAAAACGTTTCATACTAGTTTATTTAATTAAAGTAATGGTAGCATTTTAACAATATCAATTTTAACAACGATTAAGGACTACATCAAAACTGGAATTGGAGTAGGTCTAGTTACTCTTTCAAAAGAAAAATATTTTTTTTTTGTTATTGCTATCTAATACACATTATGAAAGAATTATCCGTACACAGTTTATATGGTATTTTGTTGTTTATGTAGTGTCTTTTTTTGTTTTTTGTTTTTAGAAAAGTCTTACAGCCATGTGGTGTAAGCTTATTTTAGACAAGTATGCAGAATGACGTTTGTTTACGGCCGAATAGCGTTTATTGTCCGTGTTAATTAAATAAAACGAATTGCAGATGCGACAGCAAGGGAGGTACACTCTCGATTTCTGTTTTAATTTACCCGGCATTTTCGCCATGTAAGATTTTAAAAAAAAATTAACTGTCTTCATTTTATATCACTAGGCAACTGAAGACTATTATGTGTAATGGAGGAAGGGTGACACAACAGTAACACCTGGTAACAGGAGGGTGATCACTGATTAACCAAGCAAAAAGTAATGTGTTGTAGAAAACTGGTAATGACTATCTTATACTAACAATTGTGGTTTTTTATGTAACTTAGCCGAAATGTATGTAACTCAACAACATTATAAATTAAAAGTTGTGTGTACAGTGTAACTAAATGTAAATAAAGAAAGAACAACCTAAGTTTTCACTCTTTAGAATTCGATTCGAGTTCATAGTTGAGACTAGTTAGATCTAGATCTAGTATCGAATACACCCATTTGAATTTTTTATCGGTAGGCTAGCAACGCAGCAGACGACTTACTTTTCAAGATCTAGACTACACCTGAAGACTATTTGATATTGTTAGCATAATAGACTTACTTTTTGTTACTTTTAAAATATGCAAGTTTTAAATCTAGATCTAGGTTCTAGAAATCTAGATGGAAGGCCATCGCCATAAATTGAAGACTTAAATTTTAAGTAAGAAAAGAAAGAATGACAAGAAGAGTAGAGGGGAAAAAGTAAAGTAGAGAATCTAATTTTTTTTTTTTAGAGAATCTAGAAAATCTAGTCTGCTAGAATAGATCAGTTAGAATCTAGATCTAGATCTAGACTCTATTTAGATTCTTGATTCGATATCAAGACTTTAAAAGCTAGATTCTATATATGTAGACGATCTAGCTAGATCTAGATCTACTGATCTAGCTAGAATCTAGAAGAGTCTCTACCCACTCTACTCTCTAGAATATCTCTACTAGATCTAGATCTAGATATCTAGATTCCCAGTCTAATTTCTAATGTATTTTTGCTTCGAGTTTTAGAGTAACTTAAACTTTAGAGACAGACTAGATCTAGTGTCTATATGTTGTATGTGTATGGGCGGGCCGACATAGACATAACTAATACAAGAGTATAAATAACTTACTAAACCTCTAGATTAGGTTTAGTAAGTTAGTTTTACTCTACTCTAGAGTAGTCTAGAATGAGTCTAGATCTAGAAATCTAGATCTAAAATTTCTAAAATCTATTCTAGATCTAGATACTAGATATAGATCTAGATCTAGATGATTTTTACAAAGTTACAAATGTTTGATCTCTTGAGTCTAGACTAGAGTGTCATTAGAGACTATATTAGAGTCTAGAATCTAGTATAAGATCTAGTTAGTTAAGTATAGAGTACTCTAGAGCCTAGAGTGTAGACTCGAGAGTAAAGTCTAGATTTCTAGATCTAGGATTCTAGATCTAATCTAAATAGATGTAGATCTAGATTTAGATCTAGTAATTACATAATAAATTAAAATAAGCTGTTTGATTCTCCACACTTAACAAACTTTGGTGATTATATAAATAATTTGAAGTTTGATCATGAGCTTTAGTTGTCCGACCACTTATGCATCTTACTGTGCTCTATTGTAGGCCTATGAGTTTGTATAAAGACCTATAACAATAACAAATAATACATTGATTAAGACACAGTTATACACAGCCTATTCTATCTATACAGTATGCTTATCATTTTAAAATTAAAATTTTTATAACTTGATTAAAGAAATTATCCTATTTGACAAAAGTTTTGAATGCCAAACTTTTCCTTCTTTTTTTACAGGTGTTAAGAAAGTTTAGGGTTCTAACAAGTTGAAATACTAAAATGTCAAGTGACATGGATATAAATGAGCTGGAAAAACTTATTAACAGCTTGGGTAAGGTATTTTTAATAGGTTGATAATAGTTGATATACTTAATAACTTTATTTCTGTTGCTTGATCAAAGGGCTATAACAACACAAATATGTTTCAGTAAAGAAGTTTAGTCCCCTTAAAATTTACCTGATGAAGAAAAATGGCTTGCCAAACTAACAGAATACTAATAGGAGTCACATTTATAGGTTTAGTACTAGATTCTACCAAATTTCTAAATACATGTCTAATATCATATTAATTATAATTCAAACCAAGTTTATTAACCATGCCATTGCCATGGTTAAGATTTACCAACGTATAATTTTAAATAGTAAAATTTGATTTGTCTTCGCTGCTTGAAAGTCTATCAAATATTTCAACCATAACCCTAAAGTACACTTAATAACATGATCTTTATTTTATTTAGTACTTAACTACAAAGCATATGATTATTTTTTATGTAATATGTCTGGTTAATAAAGAATTTAAAAACAAACGACCAAAATATTTTACATAGCATATGAGCAATCACCACAGTTTTCCAATGTGTTTTGTTTTTCAGAATTTGAAAACCAGTGTCATGTTAAGCTTATAGAGAAGGAAAACCAACTAATAAATAGTAAGCCACTTTTTAATGTTATAATTTATCCTCATAACTAGTTTTTTTTTTTTATTTAATCAATGCAGGCTAATAATTGAAAAAAATTAAGGGACAAAAAATGTATTTAAAGCTGATGAATAGCTATCATAATAAAAATGGCTTTTATAACCAATTTTGAACAATTCAGTGAAGAATTATAACTGTAAATTTCTCTATTTTAAAGATTTGGAAGCTCAAATTTATGAGAACAATGAACAAACTAGAAAGCTTGAAGAAGATTTGTCAAGATATGATGAGGAAACCAAACGATTGCACAAACAATATACACACAACAGGGACAATATTGAAAGGTAAATTGTAGTATGAAACTTTTCTTTGGATAACATTGCACTTAGCTAAATTGAATGGCTAGTGAAAGACTTGATCATGAAAGTGACAGAGGTCTTACTCTATATTAGAACTTTTTATGTGAGGTATTTATAGTAGATTATCCACAATTCTTGTCTAGAAAAATAGTCATTGTGTGTTACAAATAAAATAATGTTTTATTTTCTATACCATTGTTACCCTAACATTAGCCCAAACCCAGGGGTCGGCGTGGTCGAGTCGGTAAAGCTCATGGTTGCTATACCGATAGGTCTCGAGTTCGAACCCTCGGGCAGATGAGGCTCATTAGCTGGGGACAGCCACTCTTCTAGGAGAGACAACTCCAAAATTAAACAACTGCTGCCTTGTAATTTGTTCTTGGTTGGACAAAGGCTATAAAAGCAAATCCAAAAAGAAAAGCAGGCTGAAATCGGAGTCAATGGCCTCAATGGCGCATAACCAGTTGACACGTAACGCTTAATTGTGTTGGAGGCGTGGTCGAGTCGAGTCATGGTTGATAAATTCGAACAAAGTCTTGCGTTCAAATGCACTGGCAGATAAATCTCGATCCCCTTCAACACTAATAATTAAGAACGAAGAAGAAGAAGAAGAAGCCCAAACCCTAATTTCATTGTGAGTAAGCAGTAAATACAAAAATGTATAATCATCCACAACTTACTCTAATTAAATAAATTGATGCTTGTTGTAGCCTTAAGCAAACCAAGACTGTAATGATGGATCATGAACTTGCTCTGATTAAACAGTTAGAGACATTAAAAGTAAAGACTGATGAAAACAGGTTAGTGATTTTATTCGTATAAATAATGTCATTGGCTGTATAATCTGTTTCTTTTACAATGGTTAAAAAATAATTTTATAGTGATTATTCAAATTTGCAGGTCCATTTTGTAATTGTACATTTACCTTGATATCTCAAACTTAAGCCTTGATGAAACTTTAATAAATTGATGGTAGTTTTTAAAATCAAGAGCTTTATAAAAGAAATGAGAGTATGCGATTTCATATAGAAAACATTACATAAAAATTGGAAGTTTCTACAAATTAACTTATTTTGTACAATTAATGATACAATGTTATAAAATAGAAATTGATCAGTCATATTTTTAATATCCTGTGAAAAAAATATAACCACTTTCTTTTTGTAGCAAATTTTATAAAGAGCATGTTGCAAACTACTCAAACATAAGAGATGACTACATGAGGAAATACAAGGCTTTTCCCCTTGCTATGATACTTCAGGAAAACATGGCAAAACTAGAAGAAAACAAAGTGAAAGTAAAACAAACAGGAGAGGTTGAAGCTGAACTTAAGGCCAAAATAGCATCTATTGAAGGTTATCCTTTATAATAATTTCTCAGATTGTTATGAAATGAAAATGATAATTTTTAAAAGCATACTTTAATAATTATTTTGCTTAAAATTATTTACAATTTAATACATTTTCTAGATGAGTTGGATTCTAAAGTGATGACAAGGATTATGGTGAAAATGTATCCTATATTACCATGTTGCACTTATTGTTGATGGGTTGCCTGTAAGTAATGTAATGCTGAAAGTGGTGGTTAAAGGGGCTATGGAATTTTGGGTGGGAGAGTAGAAATGTGTGATGTCATTTTAAGTTAGGGGATGCACCACCTCTTTACTAGTAAATAAATAATTATATTTGTCTTAAGGTTACAAATACCATTTTTTTCACATCCAATGATAACATATGATACTATTTTCTTTTTAAACATTAAAAAAAAACATATTATTTGTATTATCCTTTGACAAAAATATTTAAAAAACAGGAAAAAATTATAAAGTAATATTTTTTCCATATCTGTAATTGATAAATATACTCTAATCAGTAATGATTTAATAAAGATTTTCAAGTTCATTAGTGCATGTTTAATTATGCCAAATTATACATATAAAACAGGAGGCCTTTATTTTTAAGTTTGACTTATCAAACCAAATTTGCTTTAATAGTAAAAATGTATTAAATGAAAACATTCTCAACTCAAACCTTAACCACAAGCTATTGGTCAGTGCTAAAACTAAAGCTGCAACAAATTGTTTAGAAAAAGAAATCCAGGAGTGTCTTACTGAAAAGACTCTACTATTAGAAAAACTTTCAGCTATCCAGGAGATCAATCAGAATAAGTATCCCCAGGTAGGAATGCACATACTAGTTGTTAACTTTTATTCTAGGCACTTTCATGTTTTTATATTTCAAGTTATGTTCAAGTGAAGTCTTCACACAGATTAAAATTTTATAAAGAGTATCAGCTACTGATCCAACAATATATGTACATACAATATATTATTATGTAGTTCTTCAGTTTCTATTAATTTGTTTGTAAATAACAAGTTAAGATAACTGAAATATTGTTTACTTAAAAGTGATGTAAATTTATATGTGTTATCATAAGTTGTTTTTGAATAATTTCTTGCAGCCAAACTCATCAAGTAATGAGGAAGTAGAGGAAATGAACATAGAGACAGACACACTACACAAAGATACTGCTGTTGATGGGTAAGATAAAAACATAAGCAAGATATTACCCCCCTGTCAACCCTGTCATTTCCCCTCAAATCCCCCCTCCCCATTATAAAAACAAGCAAAATATTACCACACTCCTGCCCACCCCATCATTTCTTCCCCCCCCCCCCCCCCCCCCCAACATTGACTTTACATCCCCAGGTCAATTCTTATTATTATTCCTTTGTGGTCCCCCCTTCTATGCCAAATGAACATGATCTGTTCTTTTTGTATTCATCTCAAACCATTAAAAACCTACCTTTCAACTTTTCAGTCTCCTATTGACCTTTGTGGTCTGTTCTTCTTTAACTATTGGTTCCAACCCTGCACCTTTTTAGTAATTTCATTAACTGTGCCCTATTGACAACCACTTCTGTTCATTTGTACTCTACTGGTACTTATCTACATTATCTCTGGGATGGTGTAACAACACCATTGGAGTCTCATTAAAATAAATATGTAGGCCTACTGTTTATTCTTTTACATCACAGGCCTTCACATAAATTGCACTACACATATTTTATAAAATTTTCACTGTTGTGGTAACATATAATAGTGATTATAAAGAAAAGTTGTAAAATGTATTATGACTTTTATTTCCAGATCTGACATCACTACCTTTGCTAACATGACAATAGACGATGTAGAAGCCACTCAAAGCTTGGATAAAGATAAGGAAACTTCTCCTCAGTCTGGACATAATGAACAAATAAGAGGTTGTTTATCACATTTTTAAGATTTTTTATATTTAGTGCTGAAATTCAAAGTAGTTATATAAAACAATGCTGAAATTCTTGAGTGTGGTTCCCATATAAAGTTGTTAAGGCATCCCTGTGTAAGTCCTAATTAGAGCCTGACTTGTCTAGTTCAGAAAAGATAGTTGAGCACTGTTGTCCACAGCATGTAAGAATCCTTTAATGGATGCTCACGATACTTGACTTACTTGACTTAGTCCTCTTTGCTCCTTATGGAGCATAGGGCCTCCACCATTTCCTTCCATTTCTTCCTATCCTCGGCTATTAATTTTGACATCTCCCAAGACATCCCTGTTGGCTTCAGTTCTTCAAGAAGACTCCGCCTCCAGGTCTGTCTTGGGCGCCCTCTCTTCCGCTTTCCCTGGGGGTTCCACTCAAGCGCTTGGCGTGTAACATTTGTGTGAGCCTTTCGCAGTGTGTGACCCACCCAGCGCCATTTCCTCCTCCTTATTAGCACACCTATAGGCTCCTGCCTAGCTTTCCTCCATAGTTCCAAGTTCGGCACTTTGTCCTGCCATCTCAATTTCAGTATCTGTCTAGCTCACGATACACCTTGATCTTATTTTTTAAATCAAAATCATCATATAAAAGGTATAGAAAGTATCATTATTTTTATATTCAATCTTTTTTTTTAAAATTGTATTTACTAAATTACTAATATAGTCTATATTTAAATATAAGAAATTAAATCACAAATTCTCTTTGGGGTAGAGGTTGCAGATGAAGACTATGTAATGAGAGTAGAAACAAACCCAGTGTCATTGAGGGAGTCACAGATAAAAGACCAGCAAGCACAGATGTGTGCTAACAACACAGCTGTAGCAGAAAGTAACAGGATAGTCACTAGTCAACACTTTAAGAAATGGGATAACATTACATCTCAGGTTGTTATAAACTTTCTTGTTTAATCATGGAACTTAATTTCATACATGCGCTTGTTACTATATATGGGGTCCTATGTAACAAAATATGCATGCAAATATATAACAAACATGAATGACCTCCTTCTACATATGTTATTAAAGCTAAAGCAGTTACCTTTATACAGTACCTACTACATTTTTTAACAAAATTTTTCATAAATGTAAATAGAAATTATAAACCAATGAGTGAGAAATTACTTAAGATCTCTATCAACTATATTTAGAATAAAGAAAAACCAGAGAGCATTAGATCACAGGAACGTCCAGCCAGTCAGGTACATGTCATGACAGCAGCTGGAGATGCTCCTATGTTGACCAGTCTTCCTGTTAGGTCCTCCCCACAAACTCCAGTCTCCTCACTGCCAAGGCTAAGGGCGATTCCTAGGCCTTTTGTCAAGCCTACACTTGTAAAGGATCAACAACCACAACAGGTTTCTATTTTCTTTTGTATGTTGTTCAGTAAACTTATACAACACTATATTTTAATTTTAACTAGAAAAATGTATGTTAGAGTGATTCACAAATTTAGCTTTCCAGATTTTCAACATAGCATACTCTCACCTGTTTAACCCATTCAACAAACTTTGTTATTGTGATCTTAGTATATTGTAGCATTGTATTAACACTGTATGAGATCTTACTTTAAATGCAAGCAACCATTGTGACATGCAATAATATCTTGTATACCTCAGCAAACTCAACAGACACCACAGCCAACCAGGATTCCTGTTCCTCATTTTGTTAAGGTAATATAACACTCTTGCTTTTGTACAGAAGTTACCATTGATGCAGTAGTTCCCACATAAGTATTTGGTGTAGGTCTGCATAGTCTGCATGATATGCACGTTAATTATAAAAGGTAATTTTGTTTTGAGGAAACTTAACTTCCTCGTTTGTACTTCTTTAAATCAAAACCTGAACGTAATTGATTGCATTAAGTGTAAAGGTAATCCAAAAGGTTAGTACCTCTATTTGCAAGCAATTTCATTAAGTGTGACCTTATAGCTTGAACAGTTAAAACTGAATACTCCTTACTGGCCTGTTGGAAAAGGTATTATTGATTACACATCGAGTCATTCAATTTTTCACTATTATATATCAAGTTCTTAATCAATTTGATTGATTTTACAACATAATAATGAGATGTAATTACATCTAGAATACCACTGTAAGTCATGCTTCAGAAACCAACATGGAGAAACCAAATGTTGTGAGACAGCCTTCCTCATTCATGCCTAGGTTGAACTTGCCCAGACCACCACAAATAAATCTACTAGCCAAACCATCACCTCGCTTTCAGCCTGCCCATGTGCTTGGTATAGAACATACCAAAGAGGGAACAAATCAGACAAAGTTAGAGATGGTAATGTAACAACATTTTGGTTGGATAGTCAAATATTGTGCTAAGATGCTGGAGTTCTTTTTAACTTTAAAAATGTTTTTTTTTTTAATTGATCCACTTTGAATAGCTCTGATATATATGAAAAAAACGTTTCAGTCCTCTCCAGCCACAGAAGCAAATAAAAAACTAGATAGACCAACTACTCAGTTATTTCTACCTACATTTTCCAATCCTCCGAATGAACCTACATCTAAAGAAACACCGGGTTCATTAACACAACAGAACTTAAACAAGCTAGGCAAACAGACTCAGGTATAATATATATTCTACTTTTTCACTTATATTATTAGAAGCAAATGTTGCACTAATTGTTTATTTTGTTTAAAATATTATTCATTCAATGCATATAGGCCATATGTAAACTCTGGTTATTAAGACCACACCATGACATAATAATTCGTCCTCTTTACCAGTTGGTTTATTACATGAACAGGTCCTGAGATGCAATAAGTAGTTGTAAAAATGGAATAATAACCTAATAGGACACACTAGTTCGGTAAACATTCCCACAAGAATTATAAATAACTAATATCAGTAACATCAAGTAATATGGCATTTAGTCAAGGGAGACAATAGTCGGACCACTTTTGATTATCCAATGTGATATAGTCACTTAAAATGTGTGTCTTTATTCCAGTTTTCATCTAAACCTGACTAATCAAAAATCATCATCAGCTCTTAGTAGGCTACTTGTGACTTTTTCTAATTCACTCTTTTTTTTTTATCTTATTAAATTATTGAACTTATTGTCATAGTAATAGGATTTGTTTGGTTCAGAAGTTTGCTCAAACAAGTGAGAGGCACTGCTTCTTATTTTATTGTATTCAGAGGCGTAGCGAGGGGGGGGGGGGGGTGCGGACCGCACCGGGTGACACCATTTAGGGGGGGTGACACCAAGGCAAAAAAATAACCAAATATATTGAGAAAAACTTGAGGGGGGAGGTGCAAATCAAAAGTTTGAGGGGCTGGGGGTGCAAATCGAAAATTTGAAAGTTTGTCCCCGGGAAGGGTTTATACGGTGGAGGTGACACCATTAAGTGCCGCACCGGGTGACACCCGACCTCGCTACGCCAATGATTGTATTTCTTCTTTAAACTTAAGGTAAATGCACCTACTAATTTCAGCTCAAAAAAAAATTGAAGATTCCAGGTAGAGCAGTCATACACAAATGCTTTATACTATAGAAAACATGTAATTATATTCACTGCTATGATTTGATTACAGGTACAGTACTCTTTACCAGCAAGACAAATAGCTTCAAGGACATATCATCAATCAGGTACTAAAAATCATATTCTGAATGATAAAAAAAAATATGTAGGCCATTTACTGAGTTTGTGTTTTGTTTGATTCAATTTCTTATAATAGGGCCTACATATATTATATATTAATTTATTTTCTAGCTCATGAGGGGAATGAATCAGCAATGGTAAACCCTGCAGGAAAATTACACAATGTGCCTACAGTGAACGTAATAATGTCAACATCTAGCATGTTAACCACTAGCACACCAAGTGTTTCATCCACCAGCAAACCAAGTATGTTAGCTTCTACTACAACAAAATCAAACATGCCTTCAGATAACAAGCCTGGTGTGTCTACAGTAAACAAATATTCAGTTGTGACATCTGAGACAACAAAGGCAAAAGTAATTTTTACCTTTTTTTACTATCAATGCAATCGTTCTTTTTTGTAAACACTACTTTCTTCTTCTGCGTTCTTAATTTAGGTTATGGGTGAAGGTTTAAACTACACTACTTTAAATCCTATTCAAGTTAGAAAATGTTAGTAGAGCATAATTATCTTTTTTTGTGTTGAAAATCTCTACAGACATACAAATGTTTTAAGTACAATAATATCTTAATTTGTACTTAGGAAAGATCTCCAGAAATACAAAAGCCTTCAACAGCAAACACTAACGTTTTGTTTGAAAAAGCACAGAATCAGGACCAGCCTTTATTCAAATTAAACCCCAACATCAGTAAGATTTTTTTAATGTTAAAATCTTATACTTAATGTCTGTAAATTAAACCGTTTCTTTCTATCTCTGGTGTGTAATTTTTCTTACTGCAAATGACACCCAGACAATACTATACAGTTTCTCTGCCTTTATCTGCAATCATTAATTTTGTGTGTGTGAGCAGTTTGTAGGGCTATGTTCAGCATAGTCATGTCAGCAATAAGTTATTTCTTTTTGCATTATAATATCATTTCTTATAGTTTAATGTAAAGCCTGTATAAACATAAAATGCTCAGGTTATGTTCAGTGCAAGTACAACATTGCAAGCTTGAACCAAGTGGGAGGTTTTTCTAAAATACATCATTAATTTAAAATGGCTTTAAATATTTTAAGTGCTTGCAACAGCTTTAAAATTTCAAATGTAAATATTTCAGCAGCCTTGAAGAAAAAACCAGGGACAGACAGTTCCACACCACCTAAAGACCTCCAGACTTCATCCAATGTCAACACCCCAAAAAGTTTCTTGTCCATGTTTGGAAACTTTGATAAGGAGACTTCTGATGAAGAAGAAACAGCACCGAGTTCCATTTTTAAGCTGTTTAACTTCAGTGGCAACACAAGGGACAAGAATGAAAACAGTCCACAGCCCTCACAGACCCCATTTGGGAAGTTCATGGACACACCAGACTCTGATACTGATAGTGAAAAGGGTCCAACAAGTTTGTTTAACTTGTTTCATAAAACTGGCAACTGGGAGTCAGGGGAGTCTGGATTCACTATCAACTTTAATGCAGAGAAAGATGGAGCTAATGCAGGAGGGAGTACCTTGTTTCAAGAGGAAGATGGCACAGACAAGAAAGGTTTGTTCAACTTTGGTGCGGCTGATGATAGCTTTGATGGGGAGAGACCAATGTTTAATTTATTTTAAATAAAACTATTGCATTCAATTTTTATTATTTTAGTCATAGAAATTGTAATTTTTATTAGGAACTGAATGAAACACCTCATTGTGTCATAAGTAATTTGATTGTGTTCTTTCTGTGTTAGTCATTCCCTCCCAAAATTAATCATATCGAATAGGACACAAGAAGTTAAATTACTAAGACAGCACTTGTTAGAATTTGCTTTGTTCTTTGATAATGGCTGAAAATGTTTTTTAAGTTTTTATACATAATTCATTAAAAAAGAATTTTTAAGTTGTTAGCTTTTTGTATTTATTCAGGTAAAATATTGCTTTATTTTATAAGCAGCCAAAACTTGCTAAAATAATAGCATTATGTGTACTACAAATGCATGCTCTCCCTCTCTTCATTATTGTCACAAACCCACCAAACCTCACTAAACACGTGACATTATTCATGGAAGCTCTAACTCTAACATGAAAAGGTTTCTATTCTAAGACTTACAATTATGAAGATGAATGTTGTTTTTTGTTTAATTTGTAATACATTTTCATACTAGGAAGTGCTAAAAAATGTGTTGCTTTATTTAATACTTTATAAAATTAGCAGGTAGAAAATGTAGATAGACAAACTAGTTGATGTTCAGCTTTTTGTATTTAATTTTATTCTTAAATTGTTTTAGGCCTATATCTGCCATCATCTGTGATTTATCCAAAACATTTAAAAACTGTAATGGTTGTTTTTAAATTGGCATGTTTCAATAGTTTCATCCACATTTTAATTAATATTAAATCTTTTATTTGAGATGAGAGTAATTGTATCTTGAATTTTGCTTTTTAAAAATTTTAACGTTTAAGTTTAAACAAAAGATGACTTTTTTGTGGCCATTGGTTAATTAAAAATTAATTTCAGTCATCTCGATTTGTACACGGCATTTCAGCTATTTAGAAACGACAGAATACATAATTTATAAATTATCCAAATTCAAAATTTCGAGTAAAAAAAAACAAAAAAAAAAACAAGTTACCCAGGGGAAGTAATCTAAAAATTGATTCAACATAGAGAAATAATAAATTTGCTACCTCCCTTATTTAATTCGTTAATTTAGTTGGCATTGTATTTAATTAATTGGATCATTTGCTAGTAGAAGGAAATGTAAAGTTCATGTTATATATTTCCTTTTTATAGCTAGGAATACTGAATTATCAATTAGAAATCGAATAGCAACTGTGTTTTGTTATAAATATTTAATATTTATTAGCTGGTTCGTACGGTTACGTAGGATACCCGCTTAGCCCTATGCTCGTGACGTGACCTTAAGGGTTACGTGCATATTCACGTTTACTGATCCAGCCTTGATGCGTATGATGTCATCCTCCTATGTCACAGTCGAACTATCGGCTTCATTAACTTCATAGTTAACAAATCTGAGGCACTTGTGAAATTAAGTGTGAAATAAAATATAAATGATCACTTCTGGCATGTATCTAAAGATACATAATTATTAATATTTTTAATATATAGTTAAAATTTTCCTTACAGTACTAATTTAGACCTGTTCATTAAAACCCCATAACTATGTTATGCTATTGTTGTTTCAACGGCCAAGCTTCTGGTCTCTCTTACTTCCTACAACAAACTAAATGGCAATGGACATACAGTGGCCCGCTAGCAGGCTGACTCCACACATCACGACATGTGGCTGTTTGACTCCACACATCAGGATATGCGGATGTCTGACTCCACACATCAGGATATGCGGATTTTGACTCCACACATTACGACAAGCAGTGGCTGACTCCACACATCACGACACGTGGATGTTGTACTCCACACATCAGGATATGCGGATGTCTGACTCCACACATCACGACAAGCAGTTGCTGACTCCATCCATCACGGAAATCAGTGGCTGACTCCACACATCACGACAAGAAGTGGATGACTCCACACATAAAGAAAAGCATGTGGCTGACTTCACACATCTTGACAAGCATTGGCTGACTCCATCCATCACAGAAAGCAGTGGCTGACTCCACACATCACATGCAGATGTCTGACTCCATACATTACGACAAGCAGTGGCTGACTCCACACATCACATCAGTGGCTGACTCCACACATCACAACAAGCAGTTGGCTGACTCCACACATCACGACATGCGGATGTCTGACTCCACACACCAAGACAAGCAGTGGCTGACTCCACACGTCACATGAGGTACTCTCCTGTGCTGATTAACCTTCTCCTACTGTATCACACTGCAAGTAATCTGTCCACCTGATAATGATAACGTCCGTATCCCGTGGTAGACCTTTTTTTAATCGTCCAATTAACATAAAGCTTCAGCACGTGGCGTCCACCACCACACACGTCCTTGTTCGTTTGGTCCACTATCTTTACAACAACGGGCGGTCTTTGTTGTAAGTAGAGCATCATTTCTTTGTTTACTTTTTTGTGTTCTGCTTATATACTAAAATTACTGTCAAGCTCCTTCGTTGATCACATACTTAAACTACCAATATAAAAAGCTCTTAAACTAACAGCTCAATCTGTAATGAATACAGTGGGGGTTTTAAAAATCGATACAGTGTAGGCCTACTGCAGTAACAGTACCAATAGAAATAGTAATTTAATTTCCTTCATTGAGAGTTTCTATTGAAAAGTTTACTGACGACTCATTTTGTTTACACTCGCAGCCGAGGAAGTGAGAAGTAAGTCGAGAAAATGGCGGGGCTTGTTCAGCTAGTCACCTTACCGCTAGTTCTGCTTGTTGGTCTGATTGAATCAGGTCTCTTCGTGTTGGTGAGTAGATCTAGTTGTTTCACTGATTTCTCTAGTTTATTGTTAGTTTGTGTTTGCTGTTAGCAGAGGATACTACTAATACTATAACCACGGACTTTATACAAGGGGAATAACTTGATTAACTCCGAACGTATCAAGATAATTAAACACGAAAGTATGTGACAGGCTTCGCTCAAAGTTTAAAGATCGTGAGATCATGATTTAATTTATGTAATGTGTTGTGATTTTGTATCAACCCAACACGTTAGAAATTCTTACTGTCAATGTAAATCCCTTCTCCTCCCGTGGTTAGTGTGTAGAAGTGTCACTTATAAACACATTAATAATAGAGAATAGACCATTTGTACAAACATAGAATGCAATCTTGTGTTGTCCAATAGTAAAAATGGTCAGAATAGTCTGACAATACAGTGATAAATGACACGATTAGCTGCTAACAGTTCAAAAGTCATGTATGGATCAGCCCATGGACTTTAATTTCATTGCTATGAATATTTTTTTATGTTTATTGTACTATCTCTTTTGAGTGGGTATGGGGGGGGGGGGGGGGGGGGGGGCGCTATCTACACAAAAGTGTTATTGAGTATCTTTGAGAATTTAGAAAAATATCAAGAATTTCTATTTCTAAAGATATAGACCTAATAATGATGTCCAATTAGTAAAACAACACGCATTTTACCATTTAATTGTCTTTAAGGTTGTATCACAACCTGCTCTCTTCCCCCCCCCCCCCCCCCCACACACACACACACCACAAATACTGCAACATTTATATTTTATCAACTTCTGACCACTGATACTATGTTTTTACTACCTGTGAATTTGATCGGTAAAACTTATAACACAACATAAACAACGAGATCGAACTAATTGGTATGGACACAACTTCTACCACGAACCTCACTTAACACTTAACATTCAGCGCAAGCGTATCTATTTTCGTGCCACTCTGAAAGTTTACTTCAGTACACGGTGCTTGCCTGTATCCCTAGGTCCGATGGTATGACGCGTATATGTACAGTCCCCTCCAGACAGCCCTGTGGCCAGTGGTGGCCAGACTGCCCCGGTCTGTGTCTATAGATGGACACAAGGTAGACGTCTTCACTGCCAACATCGTCTCATGGAGCAGGACATTGCTGGTCATACCAATAGCCTTTACCCTCAAGTGAGTTACACGTGGGATGGTTGTTATGGTATACTTCTTAGAGGCCCTATATTTACACACACAGGTTACTCTCTCTCTCTCTCTCTCTCTCTCTCTCTCTCTCTCTCTCTCTCTGTCACACACACACAAACACACACACACACACACACACACACACACACACATATATATATATATATATATATATATATATATATATATATATATATATATATATATATATATATATATATATACATAAACATATATATAAGCTAGCCTTCCATAAGTGTTAGAAGAATGTGGACTAGATGATTGTATCCCCAGACATGAGTACTACTGGTGCGGCTTTTGGTGCGTCATACTCCACGACTTTCTTGACCACCTGGACGGTATCGTTGCCAAAGTCCACAAGCAGAAATACGGGGACCTGGATGACCCCATCGTTGGGGGCTTCATGGACGCCTTCTGTGACAAGGTCAGTGAACACTTGTATTCTACGAACGGTTAAACTTAGCCGCACTGAGAAAAAAATTGGCAAGTTTACCCGGCATGTATATGTGCTATACCTCGCAGATCGTGAACGTCCTGTCACTGTGGAGTATCCTGATGGTGACAGACTTCTCTCCCATGTCCCCAGGACAGATCGCCCTGTACATCACTGCCTGCTCCGTCATCATCGCCTACGAGTTTACACTGGGTATCGTCAGGGTACAGGACTTCTTCAGAGCCTATTATTTCCGGTAAGATTTCTTCAGAGCCTATTATTTCCGGTAAGATTTCTTCAGAGCTTATTATTTCCGGTAAGATTTCTTCAGAGCTTATTATTTCCGGTAAGATATTTTCAGAGCCTATTACGTCCGGTAAGATTTTTCAGGACCTTAAATGTCCAGTTCCAGTAAGATTTCTTCAGGACCTGTAATGTTAGGTAAAATTGTTTCATGGCTCTTTATACAGTAAGATTTGTTTTTTAGAACCGATGATTAAAAAGCATGGTTTCTTTTAGATATTTTGCTATGGGGGGGGGGGGGGGGGGAAGGGTGTGGTGGGGGTGTGACATAAAATTTCAGGGGGGGGGGGCACTTGTTGTAAGAATCTTTAAAGTGTGTATTTTATTTTTCTATTTAATATTTTGCTCTATTTCGCCCGGATGAAATATATATTAAATGACGCCCGAAAGAAATACTGAAAAAATAGTTAGTAGTGTAGAATAATTGTTAGCCGATTTCGTAAGTCTTGGTTATAGTTCTGTAACATTAGACACACGTGTCACTGTAAAGTATATTAACATTGCAGGGAGTTTAAGAAAGTGGACACAATATCCAACAAGACGAGCACTGCTGCAGTGATGGAGGGCAAACTGAAAGAGAAGTTGGAATCTCTTGGTATAGCTGCGTTGTGTGTCGCTCAGTCAAATACCAACAGCATGACCAGTATATGTAAGTAATATCATTAGGTAAACACACTTGGACAGAGACATATTCATTTGTGAACTTTAATGTTTTAGATGGCAAAATAAGTTCGTAGATATTTTGCATAGGGCTTTAAAAAAAAAAATGTTGTTCACTTTGGTATAATTTAGGTATATAAAAACATTTGATAACATTTTATTTCTTTCCTGCAATAGCTGGGATAGTTGGAGTCACATGTCTACTACTCTCTGTCCGATTGGCCCACTCTAGCCTGACCAATAAGCTGACAGCACGTGAGCCTCAGGTTCGGGGTCAGGCCCACTCGAGCGAGGACGAGGAGGACGTGAAACTCTCCAGACCAGAGAAACAGGTAGTCACCGACTGACTAGAGGAACCTCAATAAACTGCTCACCTTTTCATGTGTGTTTATTACTGCCTGGTTACACGTCTCCTCTGTGTTGAAGTGAAATGTACATGTGAAAGTTGTGAAAAATTGGAAATAAGAAGACGTGTATGGAAATTATAAATTTATTGACATTAAAGAGGAGAGATGTTTATTTTAAGGAAATATTTTTCTCTATTTACATTGTATCTCCACAACTCACGTTCAAGTAACTGTCAATAAAAACAGACTTTTCCTAATTAAATACTATTAATAAGAAAATTCAGATTGTGTACTCTATTTGTAAGTTGGTGATTTCCAATCGAACATTGAGTACAATAGGAAATCAAGTTGTTTGAGATGTTGTATACTCTGGTCAGCTATGTGTGGGTACCGCTAATCCACCACTAGACATAACCCTCAACTCTGACACTAACCCAGGCCTTAACCAACGTGTAGTAACCAGTATACTGAGCGCGACAGCCAAATCGCCAGAAATGGTTATCTGAGTGATGCTATTCTAAGTCTATCTTGGGAAACAGATGAAGGGTTCACACAATTATTTTAAGGGAGGGGGAAAATGAAACAATCTTTTTTAAATTCTTTAAAACTGAAAGCAACATCAAAACGGATTATCTTTATCGAACCAAAGTACGACTGTTGTGTTATCAACATATTTACACGGTATTGGTAAGGGACTTTTCGAGGGTTTTTTTTGTATTATTATTGAAGGGGTCGTTCAATAATTCTATAGTATTGAATACAATGCTAATCATGAATACAAATATAGCTTATATGACATTACTATAATATATTTTTTAATTTGTATACTATGAGGTGCAATACTCCTTTATACATTGCATTACAATAATCGAATAAATAATGATCGAATAAAGTAATATGTGTGGTGGTTTAAGTGTATCTATGGTTGATACACCAACGCAAATAAGTATTACAAAAGCAAAAAAAAAAATCCCACTTCAACCTGTATTACAGGAGACCAAAGACGAAGAGACCCAGGTAGATTTGGACACACCCAGCGTGAAACCACACCACAACAAAGATGGCGGTGATGAGCACGTGTTACACCGTTGTACGTCACTGCCTGGCACAGAGCTGCTGACTGACATGACACTAGACGCACGTGCAGAGCGCGTGTACACGGTCGGGTGCTTTGACCTCTTTCACCACGGACACGTCAAGCTGCTGAAGCAGATGAGGAGTTTTGGCAGAAAGGTCAGTGAAAAGATTTATTATACAGGTCAATGATACGTTTTAATAAAAGGTCAATGAAAAGATTTAATAAAAGGTCAGTGAAAAGATGTATTAGAAAAGGCAGTAAAAAGATTTAATAAATGTCAGTGAAAAGTTTTAGTAGAAAAGTCAGTGATAAGTTTTGGAAGAAAGGTCAGTTACATTTTGTGGCAGAGGAGTTAGTGAAAAGCGTTTGCAAAAAAGTTTAGTGAACACTTTTAATCAGAAAGGTCCGATAGAATGTTTGACAAAATGGTCGATGAAAAATGTTGATATATAGTTCAGTAAAAAGTTGTAGAAAGTTCCGCGAAAGTTATGGCAAAAGAAAATATTAATCGATCACAATAAATTTTAGTACATTTGGAGGTATAATATGTTCTTACTGTAGGCTACAATGACCAGACAGTGGTGACCATTTCCCCAGGTTATTGTCGGCGTCCACGACAGCAGGAGCATCTACCAGCTCAAGAAGCGGGTGCCGATAGACAGCACAGTCACTAGGATGAGGAACGTCAAGGAGTTTGCTGATGAGGTAGGTGTTTAGGTCTCTACAGCACTGGTGTAGTGTTTAGATTTTAATCAGTCTTTGGTCTTGTAATCAGGTTTTTACGTTTCTACAACTGGTGTAGTGTTTAATATTAATAATATTATAGCTCTCAATCTTTGGTCTTGTAATCAAGCAAATCGTATTTGATTAGCAGCAACGAAAAAGTATCTGACGCCTATAATGTTTATCTCTTGTTCCATTTTTTTTAGTCTTGTATAAAAATAATGAACCCAGCACTATAATTCCTTTTTTCCCTACTACTTTTCTGAAAAAGGAACGGTGACTTGTGACATTATAGTAGCCACGAATTGTTACTTTTTCATTATTTACATGGAATATTTTATGTATGCTGATTTGATTGTAGAAATATTTTTTGACATCAAATCTGACCAACAGCTGTTTGCTTGTCAGATTTTATACATGGGTCATTGGATTAGCGTAAGGCAGAATGTTTGAATTATATATTACGAGCCGACCCGCTGCGTATCATACGCTGCTATTTAGTTGTTTTTTTTTTCTACTTTTCAGTAATTTATAATTTGTGAATTCGACAGTACCAATGCTGCCACTGAAAATATTTGCTTAAAAACACTAAACCCCCCTACCCCCCCCCCCCCCCAAGTGAAAGCAGCCTCCTCTTAGTTACTTCCTCTAAGTTTAAAATCGTTTCAAACTAAATTATCTGCCCCTAATAGCCGTCACCAAACCCGTCTCTATGATTGTAAAATGTAAACAGAGTGAACACCGCTCACCAGATCATGTGAGAGGCTGGGGGTGGTAGCGATAGAGAGGAAGAGAGGGGACTGTAAGGGGCGCTTGCAGCTTGTTCTTCTAACGGCTCCCAGAAGAGAATTATATATATATACAGATAACTTATTAGGTGGCTGTTACCCATACAGTAGCGTAGCGAGGGAGGGGGGGGGGGGGCGGGCGGGGGGGGGGGGACATACGTCCCCGGGCGCCGACCTTAGGGGGTGCCAAAATGGGTTGGAAAAATAAATTGAAAGGTCGAGGGGGGTGCAAATCGAGGAGGGGGGGGGGTGCAAATCGAAATCTTGAGGGGGGGGGGGGTGCAAATCGAAAAGTTTGTCCCCGGGCGCCGGGAAGGGTCGCTACGCTTCTGTACCCATACCTTAGACGTATTTAGAACCCCTGCAGTTTGAAACGTCACAGTACACCAATCAACTTCCTTGCAGTGAATTGATAAGCCAGTTTCCTGATATTTTGTTTCAGTTACGTTCTACTTCCTTACACAATGCAAACACGGAAGGGAATTTTTTTTTACACGACGTCTTTAAGATTTTATTCAATGATAGGCGATTTGACGAATCCGCTATTTATTGTTTACTTCATCCAAGGATTAAGTTCCTTTTTGGCGATGTTTTATTTCAACAAAACGTGTGAAGAAAACAAAGTCCTGTGCTAGTAAACTCTGACATTTTTTCCTCGTCGTGTTTGATGATTGGTGAACACCGGAGTTTCTTCCAGGCATCTCTTCGCAGAGGCATAGCGATGGGGGGGGGGGGGGGTACATATGTCCCCGGGCGCCGACCTTAGGGGGCGCCAAAATGGGTTGTACAAACAAATTAAAATGTCATTTTAGCTGCATTTTTTAAGTTTTCAGCATATAATGCCCCCGAGGGGGGCGCCTAATTGAAAGTTTGTCCCCGGGCGCCGGGAAGGGTCGCTACGCCTCTGTCTCTTCGGTTGGACTCCCCCCTCCCCCCGAAGAAAGTCTACCGCCCTTGTCCCCCCCCCCCCCCCCTCCTTTTCGGAACGAAATGGAATTTATATTGAAAATATATACTTTTAACTGTGTCTTCTCCCCCCACCCCCGAAAATTTTAGTCCGCTCCCCCCCCCCCCCCCCCCCCCCGAAAATTTCAAGTTCTCCCTCCCCTCGGAGAAGAAAGTCTGGAAGAAACACTGGTGAACACCAACCTTGAATTAGATGCATATTATTTGTTTTCTGTTACTCCAGGTGTTTTGTGTAGCGGGCACCGACCCCACCCCTTTCATCGACTACATCTTCGACAAGAGCAACGAGCGCAGCAGCGCCATCTACATCCGGGGTGACGACATGCCCCACTTCCCGGCGCGCCACCTGTGCGAGAAGCTGATGACCGTCAAGTTCCTGCCCTACACGTCCGGCGTGTCCACCACCAAACTCCGTAAGGACCTCATCAACTCCAGCAACGCTGATCTGGCTTTCAGAGATGTCCACGGGGATATTATGCCGTACTGATGGATGAACGGGGACATTATGGCGTACTGATGGATGAACGGGACATTATGCCGTACTGATGGATGAACGGGGACATTATGGCGTACTGATGGATGAACGGGGACATTATGCCGTACTGATGGATGAACGGGGACATTATGTCCTACTGATGGACAAACAGGGACATTATGCCCTACTGAATGATGTATGGGGACATTATGCCGTACTGATGGATGAACGGGGACATTATGCCGTACTGATGGATGAACGGGGACATTATGGCCTACTGATGGATGAACGGGGACATTATGCCGTACTGATGGATGAACGGGGACATTATGGCCTACTGATGGATGAACGGGGACATTATGCCGTACTGATGGATGAACGGGGACATTATGGCCTACTGATGGATGAACGGGGACATTATGCCGTACTGATTGATGTCCTACTAATTGATGTATGGAGACATTATGGCGTATAGATTGTTGTTTGGGGAAATTATGACGTATAGCATATACAGAAGGATGTTAAAAAGTTAGAACCCCATCCCCCAAAATAACAGCTAACGATAAGCTACACATAACGACTAATGTTATATGGCTTTAAATGTCAAGGATATTCTGAGATTCGCAATATATGGTGAACAGAGAAGTAAAACACATGGTTTATCAATTCTATAACACTTCTTTGTTTTCTTGACATTTTGTACAAACATTGTTATCATCGTTTTCCTGATGTCAAAAATATTTGACTGTATAGAAAACATTACATTTCATAATTTATTTAAATGACCCACTTATGCCAATGCAAAGGTTACTGGTGATATAAGTGTATTTATTAAAGTAAATGGATACAGATGTGTGTATGTGTAATGCAAGTGGATACCAATTGTGTGTGTATGTGTGGTTAGTAAAGGGCTAGTACATGTGTGCATCTCTTGTGACTGGTGCATATCAATGCTGCTGTTCTGTGAATGTGTCTTATAAGTGAGTGTATGTGTATAGTAATATATGGCATGTATAGAACAATTTTCAATTTAATAAATTTAAAATCTGGATGAAACTTTTTAAAAATTGCCGTGTCCACTTTTATGACTGAACCACTGGCACGAAGTCGCACGGACTTTCCATCTTCCCTCCTTCACACTACTATCTCGCCCAAGCACTGCACCTCCCACCCAGGCGTACATGACCCTGACCTTGGTCCTGTTCTTTTTGCCTGTAACCAGTGCACCACCTGACAGGTAAACAATATCACACCAGCCAACACTGGACCAGGTGCTCTTTCTCTCTCTCTCTCTCTCACTCTCTCTCGTGACAAATCTTCTCTCAAGCATAAACCTGACCTCATACGTGGCCAGGCATTACTTCAGCAGGAACCAGGTGTGTTCAGGTGTAACGAATCTATTCTCGAACCGAGATTAAAATGACGTCACAACAGGACCGGTTGTGACGCACGTACCATCAAACATGGGCTAACGTGACGTCAAAACGGGACCTGGTTTAGAGAAACTTCTATCAAATGGACCAGGTGTTGACAAGTATAACGGGTCTACTATAAACGGACCAGGTGTAGTCAGGTGTAACAAGTCTACTATCAAATGGACCAGGTGTACTCATGTGTAACAAGTCTACTATCAAATGGACCAGGTGTACTCATGTGTAACAAGTCTACTATCAAATGGACCAGGTGTTGTCAGGTGTAACAAGTCTACTATCAAATGGACCAGGTGTTGTCAGGTGTAACAAGTCTACTATCAAATGGAATAGGTGTACCAGTAGACTCGTTAACCTAAGTACACCTATTCCATTTGATAGTAGACTCGTTACACCTGATATTAGACATGTTATACTTGACTACCCCACGTCCATTTGATAGATTCTATTGCCAAACTTTGGCCGATTTTTCCACGTTACCACACCTGACCAGCGATAATTAAAAGATAAAAACAGATTAGCTGATTGCAGGTGATATAAAATGACGTGGGTAAATTATTTCACGAACTAATTGATACGATAACAGAAGTAGGCCTGCTCTTTTAGACCCAACATTTTAGTCCAAATGATGCAAACATTTATACGTGACAATCGCTACTCATTTTTACATTTTTTTTACCTCCTCCACGGACGGCATAAAGTAACAAAAATTATAAAATCAATCTGAGCGTAGCCTATGATGCTATTTTTAATGTAAAGAAACAAAATGTATGCTACGTCACATTTTTTTTTCTTTACCCAACCTCTTTTTTTTGGCGACTGAACGTCGACACAAAATTATACCCCTCCCCCCCCCCCCAGTGAAGTAGGCCTACGTGACCCCGTCATACACAGTGTTTCTGTTAGATAATTTTCTACATGGAGTTGGGAGGGGGGGGGGGGGCACGGCACTGGTATAAGTCTCTATTTTCTATATAATTTTTAGCGCAATTTCCATTCTGGAGAATTGCGTTTATTAACCCGTCATTTCTGGATGGATGGATGAATGGATGAATGTGTGTCCGCAGCTTTAAGTCGTATCTCCTCCTCAACGAAGCAATATCGATGACTAGTTCCAAAAGCAATTATGTTAAGCAAGTTACGAGGATGAACATAGGCCATAAAAATGCCGGGTTTCTTTCACGGATTTCCCGGAAAAGCCAAAAAACCTCGAAAAAAAGCAGTTTTTGACCCATATCTCGGTAACCAGACCACTTAGCGACTTGAAACATGTACCAATCGATTCCTGCCATAATTTATAACAATATTGCCGAAGAAAGTTTTCAAAAATATCCTTTCGTTTGGTCACAAATTTTTTTTTGAATTAATTAAAATTTGGACCGAATTAGTAGGCATTTTTTCCAACCACACCACACGCGTCATCACGTTCAATAGCTGCGCCATCATGTTCAATGGCTGCGCCATCACGTCCAGTAGCTAGGCGCGCAATGGTTTTTAGTCATGTAACTCTATTGTAAATAAAACATGTATTTTAACCAATGGTTTTACTAACCCTGCTCTTGATTTACACTACGACAGAGCTATTTTTAGATAACACAAGGAAATTGCGCTAAAATTGTCACTAGACTTTTTTTAATTACTTGTTTTTCTATTTCGTTCTTCGAGTGAGAGGGGGGGGGGGGGGCAGCGTTCTCTAAGAAGAGATGCCTTTAAAAAATTCTCCGGAGAAAAAGTCCGAAAGAAACACTTCAAGCTGCCATGTAGCTCACGAATTTTTTGGTATGTTGTTTTACAATGCTTACAAAATCCACTATTTTTAAACATCCCATTTCTTCTTCATAATTAGACTATTTGAGAGTTCTCTGCGAACAATTTGTTGATATTACGTGTAAAAAATGTCAACCACTGCACTAGTTCTTCGCTACATTTATAAAGGCCTACTGTATAAGTATATATTTAGAAAAAATAATGACTTATTTATTTAATTCTTCGAAATTATTATTAACGGAAATTGTGCAACCGTCTTCTTGAAAAAAAATCAGTGTCACTGTCAAGTTCTAGACCACAACCAGTAGCACAACTTTTAGAGTAGGGCTAGATCTAGACTGTCGGTTTTAAAATTCAGTTACGTTTGATGAAAACTATTAGATTTGTGCCAGTCATTTTTGTGTGAAATGTTTGCATCAATTTATAATATTGGCAGATCTGTAGGCCTAAAATTTAGCAGACAAAAACAACGAATGTTGCTTTTCTTGGCAGGCTTGTTTACATTTGTTTCGCTTAAAATATTTTTCTCTTGTAAATACTTTTTAGTTAGTGTGTTGATGTTTTGATAACAATAAACCGGATGTTGAGTTTAAGTTTTTAATTTCACAGTCAGCTTTATCACTGAGGATCTCTAACTTTCGAAATCGTTGTTGAAACAAATTTAGTATCATTAGTCAGCAGAATTAAATTTATAGACTAGAATCTAGATCTAGATCTAAATCTATATTGTTTAAGCCTACGCAGTTGTTTGAAGTAAGGATGTTTTGTAAAATTAATTAGGCCCTAGGCCTATCTGTTAAATAATTAGAAAATCGGTAACGAAGTGTCTATTCACAGCCGGCTGTGAATAGCCGTATTGGGGCTATTCACAGTCGTGACCGTTTTTGATAGATTTAATGTTAAAAATACCTAACTGGGCATGAAGATGTGTGGTCGAGTGGTCATAGGGAGAGGCTGTCATGCCAGAAGGTGGGGGTTCAAATCCAACAAATGCCAAATGGTCTGACCCTTAAAAGTATACCTCATGATCTTATCAAAATATTTTTTTCACAATTAGATCTAGATTCTACTTGAGTTACTCATGGAAGAGTTATTTTTGTTAATTTTTTTTTTCGTTTGTGACGTAATTGTTGGCATATCAGCAAAAAAAAGTGTAATGGAAACTGAATAATAGCTGATGAAAAAGGACATCCTATTTCACCTGATATTTATTCTAGATCTATGTGATAATGTGAATTTTTAATGGTAGGCCTAATTGATAGTTGAATAGCAATGTGAACAAACAAATAAACTGATGCTACGTAGCCTGTAGCAGATATGTCTGATATGAGCCTAAAAGTTAAACTAAACTTTAACGGTAGGCCTAATAACTTTTTTATAAAAATATAACAAAATAAAAATAGCACTGCTCTCTTAATCTATACCTCACTCCCCAGTCACAATAAATGCTTAGCCTATATATGTTATTTTAAGATATTATTCACAGTCGTATAGTATGAAATGACAGCCGACTGTGAATAGCCGTATTGGGGCTATTCACAGTCGGCTGGGAATAGCCCCAATACGGCTATTCCCAACCGGCTGGGAATAGCCTTGGCCAATCGGTAATCTATCGTTTTGGGTACGTAAAATCGCCCGCGATTTGTAATGTGAAAAACAGGTGACTCCTTAAATTTTAATAATTATTTCACATTTTGAGGAAGATTTATGTTTTAAAAAATTCAAAAATGTTTCCTTGATTCATTTATGTACCTGTTTTTAAACAATTGAATTAAAACTTTTCCGTAATAAATGAAGACTAGCGATGTTTCCAACAGATGCAACCATGCTCATTTACTATAGCAGCCATCTTGTCTAAGTTTTATATTTATAAGCTTTTAGCGCCAGATTCAGGGGGAAGCCACTCTATTTTACAAATGGCTGCTGTTTATATAGCAAATCTTGCTCTCAGACACTGCTGTTAATTTCTGGCCTGTATCGATATATTTAGCCATTGATTTAGGTTTATTATTCATTTATCTATAATATTTGACACACAAGTATGACAATATGCTACTATTAAAGCCTTGACAATGAGATAACGTTTTCGTACATAAATAGCCGCGGGCGATTTTACGTACCCAAAACGATAGATTACCAGAAAATCTAGCTAGCTAGAACTAGAAGAGTCTGAAGAGTCTATGACAATTCTATGATCTAAATCTAGTCTAGCTAGAATGGAGATTCTTGAGAGTTGAAACAGTGTTCTAGTTTCTTAGTGAAGCCAAATAGATCTAGTAAAAATTAAAAATACTCGAGTCAATCAAGTACTCCCGACGTTGTCATATGGAGGCGACCGGGTTGGCGAGAATACTTCCATCATCATATTGTTGACAGTTGACATGGATTAAAAACATGCACAAATATTTAACAAATACTAACAATGATAAAGAAATAAAAACTAAAGCCAAAAAATAGTAGCCTAGATCTAAAAATAATTCAGAAATTTAGATTAGTTTTTAGGCTAACAATGATATTTTTACTAATTTTTATAATCAATGTTATAAAAAGTTGCAAATCCAGAGAACTTGAAAATAATTTCATTAATTTGTTGAGTTAAAATTAAGGCTAGGTTTAGGCAAGTAAGCCCACTAACTACATACATTTCTATTTTGTACAGGAACTCTGTGATCGATTTCTGACAGCCCCACATCATAGTTTTTTGTTTACAAAACTTTGCAGATAAAGTTTTAAAATAACAATGTAGGCCCTAACTAAACCACATGACCTAGTTGCCATTTCTTTTGTTTACAATTTGTACAATAAAATTTAAGCGAGCCTATCGAATAGCAGGATGTGATTATTAATCATTAATTTTAACTATGCTGTACATGAATTTAAAAATATTGAATGGGCCTCTCGAATACTTTTGAGACTTTCCTTGCTCAGGTCCATTAGTTCTTAGGGGTCATACTACATTTTTTTGACAATTTTTACCTCCCCACCTCCCGCATAGTCACAAACAGCCAGACCCCCCACCCCCTAAAATGACGTCACACCTCAGCCTACGACTCCCCTCAAAATTGCAGTTCAATTTTCCTTAAAATACGATATTTTTCCAAAATCTTGTCTGAACTCTGTCAACTTAGAGAGTATTTTAATCAATTCCTATTACAATTTATTAAAACAGTTTTCTAAAACGCAAATTAACGGCTAAAATTTGTTTTATACCGTTGCTATTTTATAATGCAAAAGTGTGATGTCACACCATCTGAACCCCCGCAAAATTATGGTGTGACATCATTTATGGACTACCCCTTATTACTATTCTATTAGCAGTATTAGGCCTATTAATTATTAATATTTTTACTTAGTCCTAGTAAATACTAAATACTGTAGCCTAAATAAATAGTAGGCTTTAAAATTTAATTTAGGGCCTAGGCCTAAATATTAAATAAGTAGGCCTACTAGATCTACACCTATTATTTCTAATATTAAATATTAAATACTAGACTAAATAGTAAATAGGCCTAATAAAATAATTCAATTCTACTTCTTGGTTCTTCATGCAGATTTCAGATCATTCTAATCAAATCTAATCTATTATTCTAGCAGTTTTTAACCCTAATTCTGTTTTCTATCTATCTCAGATTGAATCAGTTGAGTCTGGAACTTATTGATTTAAAAAAATGCCTAGCTTGGATGGCATTGACCTGGCCAGTGGAACACAAGTCCTGCTGCTGTGGGCAGGAAGTGAGATGTCACCTCTGATGCAGGAACTGGTCACCACAATCTCTGATAAAGTCAAGTCTGGTGACACAGGGAGGGTACAGCTTGAACACAGTGAAAGGCTCCTTCTGTGTACGTCTACACACATTGTATTTGGTTTTTTTAACATAACTATGAAATCTTGACATGAAGAAGTTAAATCTCTCTTTTTTGTTTATAGGCTTAATTAATATAATTTTCTTTTACAGCAGTCGTAGATTTCTATGAATGTTTTTCCATTTAATTTTTTAAAATGCACTGGTTTTCCTAATTGTGTATTTTTTAGAATTGTTTCTAGTTTAAGTTTGTAAAATTTTGTTTCTTTAAATAGCCGCCTACCCAAGTTCAACTTTTGATGTTGTGATATCTGGTTTCATCAACCCCTTGTGCACACGACACAGCACAGACATACTGGGGGAACTTTGCAGGGTTCTCAAACCACAGGGCAAGCTCTACCTGCAGGAGCTTGTGGCCACACAGGGGCAAGGGGAGGGCAGCATCAAATCAAAGGATAAACTGGTTTCAACACTTAAAATCTCAGGGTTCATCAATGTTTCAGAGGTTTGTATTTGTTCATGTTATTGTTTTACTACAGTCAAACCAACAAACCAAGTTTTGTGTGAAAGCAACACCTTGAAAATTAACTACAATGAGATTTTTAAAAAAAGAATATTAAAACCAACACAGCAGTTACACATTTTTTGATGTACTAACAAAGTTTAAAGTTTTGTACTGCTAAGCTAGCAGTGATCTATTAATATAAGCTTTTGATTTTAAAACTGACATGGCTGACTACCCTTGACAATTAATGACGTGCCATTTCAGCCTCGTGAGGTTTCTTTAAATGATGATGAGAAGCTGGAACTGAAGCAGGGGTCAGAGGTGAGCTCTGAGACAGCCCTGTGTAGGGTAGATGGACAGAAGCCAGGCTATGAAGTTGGATCAGCTTCACAGCTGAAGTTAGCCTTTAGACCAAAGCCTGCAAGTGAGTCATATGTTGAGAGCATTCAAATCATGATTTAATACTCATGTTGAGAGCATTTAAATCATGATTTAATTATCGATTTGTTGAGAACATTTTTATCATGATTTAATAATCAATTTGTTTAGAACATTTTAATATTGATTTAATTATCAGTTTATTAAGAATTTTTTTAATAATGATTTAATAACCAATGCAGTTATCTAGATAACAAAGTAAATTTTCCTTTGCTGAAAATATAGAATACTGAATACTTTATATGGTCAGTTGCACTTGTGAGTAGAATTCAGTAATGGTACTCTATGAGGAAACATTCTGTAAGACTTATGTAGCCCAAGGTCTCACTTTACATTGTAACTGTCTATGGCTCTTTATTGTTTTGTATATATAACTCTTGATCAGTAATATTGTATTTTTTTAATTTATTACTCTTTTTTATAAAAATAGTCTTAAAGAGTAGATAGTCTTGTATCTGTAGGTATTTATCCGCTGGCTGTGATGATTGCCTGTGTATATTTTGGGTAAAAAATAAATTGTTGTTTTTGTTTCCTCCAGCACAAGTAGATGAAAACGTGACCAAAGTTTGGTCCCTCAACTCCAATGATTTGTTAGATGATGATGTAGATTTGGTGAATGAGGATGATTTATTGGATGAGAATGACTTGAAAAAACCAGACCCGTCATCTCTCAAATGTAAGATTTTTATTAACTTATAAAGACAATTGCTGCTTCCAATGCCCAGTTACTTTATTTGAAAAAAGTATTTTTGTCACAGCTGGAAAAAACTATACAACATTTTGTCATTAAATTTTTAAAATCAAATTACCCTATTAAATTTATACAAAATGAATAAATAGGCTAAGTTTTGCATGGTGGCGCCCTCTCATCTCTATGCCTTGCATAAGAGAGATAGCTCCTTTGGTCACAAACACATGGTTGTTGTAGTTCATCTAGGAACTCGTGCACCCTTGCAGTTGACCCTTAGTAGACTGCCATGCGCCCAATGATGCTGTGTTAGCATCAGTTGTTTGATTTTGGAGTGTTATCTACTAGATGAGTTGTTTCCAAATATCAAACCTCATCTGTCCTGGGGGTCCGAACTCGGGACTTTTCAGTTTAGCAACAATGAGCTTTATTGACCAAACCACGCCGACCCAATGAATAATATCATAATAATCTTTTGTTTTGACCCAGTTGACTGTGGGGGTGGATCATCAACCAAGAAGAAAGCCTGCAAGAACTGCACCTGTGGCCTGGCTGAGGAACTGGAGCAAGACAAGAAACAACCTGATACAACAACCAAAACCTCTGCCTGTGGCAATGTTAGTCATACTCCTTTGTCTTTCTATAAAAATTATTTTATAACTGTTTCATGTTTGTTTTATCCCAATGTCAGCGATACTTCTCTATTTTTGTACAAAGATTATTTTATAGTTTTATATTTTTATTATCCCAATGTCACCTGAATGTGGAACAATTTTTACAAAACTGTAAATATTTATCATCATCATCTTTTACCCTTTGTGCTCAAGACACATAGGGCAGATAAAGTAGAGTTTATCTGTTACAATGCCCTCAGCATACAAGGGGATAGTGTTGTCAGCACTATGCTCAGTTACCTTTGTTTCCCTAACATAAGATAAGTACGCTTCCCATTAGAGCTGGGTGGACTTGAACCTGGATTCGAACTCGAGACTCTCGGGTTTGCAGTCTGACACTCTTACTATAGGCTAAGCCGTCCCCGTCAATATTTATAAGTAACTTACATTTTTAAAAAATTTACAAATGTATTTCTTAGTTTTATCAGATAGCATTGAATGTCTGTGTAAACTTGTTTTTGAAATCTCAAAAATGTACACATTTTATTAATTGAGATTTGAAGTTAGAGTTCAAGTCTCTTCTATCATTTTCAAACGTCTTAGTTTAGTGATATTTAACCAAGAGATTTATTTTAATATTTTTTCAGTGTTACCTTGGAGATGCGTTCAGGTGCGCCAGTTGTCCCTACCTGGGTATGCCAGCGTTTAAACCAGGTGAGAAGGTGCAGTTATCAAACCAACAGCTCAAAGCTGATGCTTAAGTACACAGAGAACTGGAGAATTTTGTATAGACATTTGATGTTGTATTAAAGTGGAGGCTTTTAAATCAAAATACGTTCTTTTGTTGGTTTTTTATGTTTTGTTTTTTAAATTAACGCCCTTAAAGCTAGAAAAAATACGAAGACTTTCATTATTTATGATCTAAAAGTAGAGGTGTTTTTCAGATCAAGGCTTTTTCAATATCTTTATCAAGGGAATTAAATAATGTTTTACTGATTGAGATTTTGTATTTACCTCCCCTAACATTGTTGACTGTAGTTGGGATAATTACTTAGTAATAAAAACAAACTGTTCTTATCCTCACAAATTGAGAACAATTAAAAGTACAGTAGATGTCTCCACTAGTACAGAAATAGTTAACATCTTTTAGTGTTTGGTACATAGGCAGCTAGTGACCACGGAATCCAGTTCAATAAGTAATATGTGTTAGTGTTTGGTACACAGGCAGCTATATATACTGACCTCACTATCCAGTTCATTGTTCCTGTGAAATCTACTTCACTTACCCCATGGACCGTCTGGCTTAAATGGGAACTTCACTTAAAGCACATACAGATATGCTACTGTAAAACTGTATATTTTAAAACAAAGGTTATATTTCAATTTGTCAAAATGATAACGTTTATTTATGTTCAGCTTTCACCATCAATTTTTTAAAGCTTAAGATCCTGACCTTGGACGGGCTGCTGTTTTATAAAGAGCTGAGTCTTTGCTGTAGCTCCAATGTGCAATAGTGACCAATCTTATTCACGCCATGCCTAGCCCCTGAGCATGGTGATAAAGGACCCAGGGCTTACGTTCACGATGTTATAGACATCTAAGGCAGAGTGGCTATATGTAGAAAAGGCTGCCTTCTTGTACATGAACTAGTTGGCAGAAAGTCCTAAAGGTGGTTCTAGGGCTGTGGGTAAAACAAAATATTAACTTAGTAGTTTGTAAATTGTGGAGGTCTGTTGGTGCTCGTGGTCAGTCAATTGGTGGTGGAGGTTGCCTAACATTTTGACTTCCCGCCCCTCAAACATAGCTGGTTATCTACACAGCGACCTCCCTTGAAACATGGCCGCAGACAGTTATCTACCCTACCAACAACTCACGTTTTCTATAGGTGAGAACTTATCTTACAACAAAACTACAAGAAAGAGAAACCAACAACTCGCTATTAAAATAAAGAAAACAAAAGAACGCAAAATAATATCCCAAATCTAAAACATATTACTTTAAGAATTTCTAATTGAAAATATGAGCAGAGTTTGTCAGCACAACCTATTCAAACCACGTCTAATTTAACCAGTGAAAAGCACTTATTGTTTTACTTTTAGCCATTGTTTTGCCTAGCAACAACAACATCAGTTTCAGTAAATTCGTCACATAACCCCAACCCCCCCCCCCTACCGCTGACAACCCACTTACAACACAAGTTGAAGGTCAAACCAGTGGCTTAGCTAGGATTTTCGGCCCCCATGCAAAAAGTGTTAGTGGGCTTAGCGACCCTTCCCGGCGACCGGGGACAAACTTTCGATTTGCCACCCCCCACCCTCATACTTTCGATTTGCACCCCCTCCCCTCAGACTTTCGATTTGCACCCCCCCCCCCCTCTCAAACTTTCGAAAAAGGGCCCCTATTTGCTGGGCCCCTATGCCTTGCTTACGCTTGCTTTACGGTAGCTACGCCACTGGGTCAAACAAAGAAGGATGTTGAAACACTTTATAATTGAAATAAAACAACTTCCTGTACGGGATAGCAACATTTTTTTGTGTGGTTATAATCAAGCAGCCTTCATTGTTGGTATAAGTACTTTTCGGTACACACATGCATGCACGCACGAACAGACACCCACCCACTCACACACAGACACACACGCACGTACGCAAACACACATACACATACAAACGCCCCAGCCACACCCACTCACACATAATATATACAAAACAATACGTCTTTATATTCACCACTATACATACACACATACACACTATACATGTCACTTGTCACTTTAGTTCAAGCTATATACCGCTTTTACTATATGTTTCAACTATTTAATTTTTGGCCAATTTGACAGACAAAGTCTTAATCCAACTTTATCCTGGATAAGGCCAGATTAATTGATTCAATCGTTAGTTTAATTAGAATAGACGTGACAACAACACAAGGTTAACAATTAACTCACCAAAACACCGCCAATGTTTAGACGCTGATCCGAAGATAGGTTCACTTTAACCCTAACTGACGCATGACATATTTCTCTTTAAAAACTTTAAAATTTTACAAATACATTCAATTCCGCAATCAATATAATGGATACTAAATTTAAAACAACTTTTATGACAATACATTTTTAAAACTCTAAATTCTACACTTAAAGTTTACAGTCACAGAACAATGATCCGCTAGCATGAGATGGTTTTCACTGTGGAAAGATAAGAAACACAAAGCTTTCGGTCTATCTATCAGGAGAAAATACTTAGGCCTAAATACAGAAACCATCTGTGGGAATACAAGTGTTAGTTCCCATGTTATCTACTCACCAGAGTTGTCGTTCTTCTAATTACCATATAGTATGTGGCAGTTCTTCTAACTACTAACTAGTGTGTGACAGTTCTACTAACTAGTAATTAGTGTGTGGTAGTACCAACTAGTGTGTGGTCTATAATAGCTTTTACTATCATTATCACAACCATTTCTATCACCAGCACTAGCACGTTTAAGTCTAGCAGAAATATCACCTTACGGTTTCAGTTAGGTTTAGTTTTATTATCAGGTTTAAGGTCCCATTTATAAACGACAGGGAATTTTGGTGTTATTCTTATTAATACAATACTCATAATAAAAATAAATTCATCACAATAACCTTGATTTAGTTTTTGTCTACTTGAACTACTATAAGTGCTATTTTCATAAAGATAAAAAAAAATGTAGGGTTTTCTCTCGGCAAACTGCTAGATACCAGTGACGATGGGTATTTGTAAATGTTATGACATAACCGAAGTAAAAATAGACACAACAAAACAAACTACTTATACAGAGAATGCTGTTACAATTCGCATCTCCACAAGGATGCTAATTTCACGCAGACGATAGTTACATAACAGTTTGTAGCAGATAGTCTGGCACTTTTGGGATCACCAGCGTGGCGGTATGTTTGTGTTGACTCTATGTTCACATACAAGTGTGTTATGTTTGTTATACGTTTTGCCTGTAGAGCACAAAGGGTTCTTTTTGATAGGGTTTTACGCTAGCACTTAGCTTAGAGAGGCTGAGACAAGATTTCTTCTGATATTACCAAACAGATTCGTTACTTGTCGTGATGTCAGGAATTGTTAAATTATTATAAACAATTTTTAATTTAGAATCGAGTTTAATGTGTTAAAAAGCGAATTTTAACACATTAATTGATGTACGATGTGCACAAGTTATGTAATCCATTGATGTACTGTGTACAAATATAGTTCCGTGATTATTGATGTACAATGTACACATATAGCTCCGTGATCCATTGATGTATAGTGTTTAGTTCCGTCATCCATTGATGTACTGTGTACACATATAGTTCCGTGATTATTGATGTACAATGTACACATATAGTTCCGTGATCCATTGATGTATAGTGTTTAGTTCCGTCATCCATTGATGTACTGTGTACACATATAGTTCCGTGATTATTGATGTACAATGTATACATATAGTTCCGTGATCCATTGATGTATAGTGTTTAGTTCCGTCATCCATTGATGTACTGTGTACACATATAGTTCCGTGATTATTGATGTACTATGTACAAATATAGTTCCGTGATCCATTGATGTACAGTGTACAAAAGTTCCGTGGTCTCTGACATGGCCTACAGTTATACAGTTTTACACGTTGATGTATAAAAAGGGAAAAATAACTTTTAGAAATATATTTAACAGAAATTTAGGATCACAAAGCAACGATTGAATGTCTTTTGTTTTGTAGACACACACGGAGCACGTTAAGTAAGGCAAGGAGCTATATTTAGAGATGCTAAATAAATAAGCAACGATTCGACTATGGTTTCGTGTGCCCCTTACCCTTAATGATTCAACACTTTTTAGAGATAGTGATAGAGGGGTAGGGGATGTAGGGAGAGAGATATATTCAATATTCGAATGGTAATTTTATGTCGGTGCCAGTAATATCAAATCTTAAGGTTATTACAGTGAATGAAAGTTTTAGCAACGAAAAAAAGACACATTAAGGCTTCACCAACATCGTTCATCAGAGCCAAACTTGATCAAATTTGTCTGGGTCGAACATAGGCACAGTTCCAACATGAGTAGATGGATTCTTCTTCTAGCAGTTCTGGTGGCAGGTAAGACATTTTGTCATTAAAATAGATCACACA